GTTGATATTCAGGTGTTAGGTACTGGGGATATAATGATGAAAGCAGACAAGATCCTCGTGAAGCTTATAGTTTAGTGGGGAAGACAGACTTGATTCAGCAAGTAAAAAGTGTGCTTGAGTATTACATACGTAACAGGGAGACCCCCTAACTGAGCTGGAAGGGCTCTATTGAAAAGGCTTCCCTCGGAAATGGCATTTCAATAGAGACCTGAAGGGTGGGTAAGCATTGGCTAGGACAAAGAGGGGAATGGGAAGGGAGGGGAGGCTGAGGAAGTAGCATTTTTGCAAATGCTCCAAAGCAGGAAAGGATATGATTTGGGAAATGAAAGTAGGCCCTGAAGGCTGTAGCAGCGAAATGAGAGGGGAGATGAGGATGGCAAGTGTCAGGTCATATAAGGCATTGTTTAGACCATGTTAAGGGTTTTGAATTTTATCTTAATCAGAGTGGGCAGACATTGATGGGTTTTAAACCGGGGTGGGTATGTAGGTGGAATGGAGTAGAAGTAGAGAGAAAAATTAGGTATCTTTTCATACAGTGTGGCCAATAATACAAATTATCTTCTTAATCTGGTGCTTGACTGTCAGAGGGAAAATGGTTCATTTATATTTATTTAGATAATATATTGGTTGCCACTATGGTCTGTTAATGTAAAATGTTCTTAAAGGGAATTCAAGGGAATTTTCAAGAGTAATTGAGCAGAGGTAATTTTCACCTTCATTATCTGACTTGGTAGTTGAAACCTTAGAAATGAATGTGTTTGCCCCGAGGGTGTCTGGAATGAGAAGGGGGTTTTCAGCAGAACTTCAGGACCTCTAGTGTTTAGTGTTGAGATACAGGAGTTGGGGCAGAGGAGACTCAGGAAAAGTAGTGCAGGATTGGGAGAAAACCAGGAGAGAGCATTAATTAGGTCTAACAAAATAATATCTGGAAGTGTTAATTGGATTTAGCTCTGTGTAGTCATTGGCTGTAGTTTGAACAGATTTAGTGGCCTGATAGGGGCAGGATTAGATTAAATTAGATTAGAATGAGTCAAAAGAATGAGAAATAAAGAAACGGAGTTTAGACAAATCCTTGAAGTTTGGTGTGAAGGGAGGGAGAAAGAATGATAGATGGAGTTGGAGGTTTGTGTGGCAGTTGGGTGTCAAATCATGGAGTTTTTTTTTTTTTTTAAGGAAAAGCATGGATTTAAAAAATTTTAAATCTTCTGCATCCGTGGATGTTTTGTTGCCCTTGTCTATCTTGGATTAATACTTAGTCTATAGGCACACACCTGATCATCTGCATTTTCCCTCTTACAGCACTAAACTATGTTTTCTACCTTTATCTTGCATCTACCTACCACTTCAGCATTTTATTAAAAAAATAATAATAATAATGATAAGGGAGAAATGTGGGATTCACACATAAATCAAGTATAAAAATCAAATGAATAATCATAATTGACCTGATTGTGTATGGTTCATGATGCGTGATCAAAACCGAAAGTTTCTGTGATGACTGCCCTTGCACTGTTCACCATGTAAGAACTTACTCCCTATGTAAGAACTTGTTCACCATGTAAAAACTTGTTCGTTATGCTTCAGAAGATTGGAGACTGTTGAGAATTAGGCTTGGGGTTGATTAATGATTGTGCATTGAGTCCCCTATACAGAAGTTTATTGTTGTTAACAACCATATGATCAATAAATATGAGAGATGCCCTCTCAAAAAAAAATACCTTCTTTAGATCTATGAAATATTTGAAAAATATATTACATATCTTGCTGATACCCTATATAGGTTCTACCGAATACAAATATGACCTTCCTGTTAACTTAATCTAGATACAGTATCCTGCAGTCTTCACACACAGGTACTGTCAGGCCTATTGAGATATGAAGGTCTGTTTGTCAGTACACTAACTTCTGATCATCTGGGCAGTGAAAATGGAGAATCTTGGGTCCAAGTAAGACTACTAAATTTGAATCTCAGGTGTAGGACTCTCAGTGTGTTGGTGTGTGCATGTGTCCGGGCGCATGCACGCACCTGCTTGCCCATGTCTTTCTCATGCATCTACTCTGTGAAATGGCTTTGGGGAATTATTGCCTCAAGAATGCTCTACTTGGACTTGGATGCTTGTTAATAGCTATGTCATGAGAATTTAAGTGAGATATGTACATCAAGCACTTCTCAAGGAAAGAATTTCAAAATTTTGTCTGCCTGTGATAAACATTGTTTGTTTTTTAGGACTAAACTAGTTTGATCCTTTTTCCTGGTTGTAAAAGTACCACATGTACAGTACAACTATTTTTCTCCCGTACTTCTTCCCTCCTCCCTGTATTCTAAGGGCTGTGGTGCTTCCTTTTACTGCATTGCCTTTGTTTGCTCCTGTAACTTCCTCTGCTAGTAGTATTTCTCCCGAGACACTACATTGACTGGCTCTTTATTATTGAGGTCTCAAAGCAGCTGTCACATTTTTGGAGAGGCCTTCCCTATCTAAAATAGGTTTTCTTGGTTACCCTTAATGTCACTTTGTTGATTTCCTTCTTACATGGCAGGAACTATATCTGAATTGTTTGTTTACCTGGGTCTGCAGGTAAACTGACTCTATCCTTTCTACAGAACAGTGCTAGGTGCACAGAAGTTATTTACCGAATAACAAAGCCAACAGTAGTACTCATAAAAGTCTTACTAACCAGTGTAAGTACCATTAACTTCTCATTGACCATTACTTCAGATATTGAAATGAGAACCATACACGTGTAAATGTTTATTGTACAGTGACAGATGCTTGCATATTTCACTTAATGTATCCTGGAAATTTTTCCTGTCTATACCATTTTATATAATCATTTTTTTTTTTTGAGAGGGCATCTCTCATATTTATTGATCAAATGGTTGTTAACAACAATAAAATTCAGTATAGGGGGGGTCAATGCTCAATGTACAATCATTAATCCATCTCAAGCCTAATTCTCATCAGTCTCCAATCTTCTGAAGCACAACGAACAAGTTCTTACATGGTGAACGAATTCTTAGATAGTGAATAAATTCTTACATGGTGAACAGTACAAGGGCATTCATCACAGAAACTTTCGGTTTTGATCACGCATTATGACCTATAAACAATCAGGTCAAATATGAATATTCGTTTGATTTTTGTACTTGATTTATATGTGGATCACACATTTCTCCCTCTATTATTATTATTATTTTTATTTTTAATAAAATGCTGAAGTGGTAGGTAGATGCAAGATAAAGGTAGAAAACATAGTTTAGTCCTGTAAGAGGGCAAATGTAGATGATCAGATGATCGATCAGGTGTGTGCCTATGGACTAAGTGTTAATCCAGGCTAGACAAGGGCAGCAAGACATCCACGGATGCAGAAGATTTCTCTCAAAGCAGGGGGGATGAGGTTCTGAGCCTCACCTCTGTTGAGATTATCATTCTTTTAATAACTGAATTATATGGTGTATTCCATATAATGAGATGGATTCTGTAACATCTAATTTATGTAACAGTTTGTTTCCAGTTTTTTACTATTTATTATGAGCAATAGTGCTGAATTTCTGTCTACATCTTGCATATTTATTTTGTGAGAATAAATTCTGACGACTGAAACTGCTGGGTAAAAAGATACACACATTAAGACTTTTTAGTTGTGAAATTGCCTTCTGGAATGATATTCTTTTATTCCCATGAATAGAGTGTGATGTCATTTATTTGTCCTCTACCCTTTTTAATCATTTTACTCTTGGCTATCTTAATAGGTGAAAACTGGTATTGTTTTTGTGCTCTGAGGTTTAAGAATGAACAACTTGGAATATCTTTTCTTGCATTGGGCCACGTTTCTTTTGTGAAGTGCCTATTCATGCTGAACACCCATGTTTTCTATTAGTGTTTTGTTTAGTTAATAATAGTTTTTTTCCTCCCACATTTTATGAAAGTTTTTAAAGTTGAAGTTTTATAATGAACACTCATATATCTCCCCCTAGATTGTACTGTTAACATTTTATTTTTGTTTTATCACACATTTATCCTTCTATCTAAAGTAAATTGCAGGCATTAGTACATTCCATTGAAATACTTTAGCATGCTTATTGTTGATTGCAGTTTCATAATTTGTTTAGTGTTTTTTTATTTTGAGGTACAATTTACATAAAATTAAATACATGACTTTTTTAATTTAAACATTTTATTTTAACTTAAAACAAAATTGGATGTTCGTCGATCAATCTTTTGATGAAGAGGCCAGGCTGTTTTCTTTGAGAATGAGCCCACTGTTGTCTTTCTTACACACCCACAATATATTGCCTAAGATTTCTAGTTTTGGTTTTTAAAGTGGAGCAAGAATTTTGTTTTGTAAATCATTTGCTGAGTTTCAACACATGTATTTGTCTATGTAAACTAAACCCAAGACTAGGTTTGGTTTGGTTTGGTTTTCCTTTCCTTTCCTTTTTTTTTTTTAAGGTCTTTTGGCCATATTTTCTCCCTAGTTTGAACTTCACCTTAGCTTTGATTATGGTGCTTTAAAATTTTTATGTAGTCAAATGTCATCCTTTCCTTACATTTTTTCTGTCATTTGTATTATACACAGGAAGACATTCCTTGCCAAATAGTATACAGATGTTTAGTATTTCTCTTTCTTTTTAACATTTAAGTCTCTAATTGAAATAATGTGACTTAGGGATTTAAAAAAATGATTAACAATGGTTTGAAATTGTTAGCTAATGTCCAATGGACAATCTTCCCTTCTGTGGGTTTTTTTGTCCCCAGACAAAATTAGAATTTAATGTTTTCATTGATGCCATTTTTATTATAACCTATGTTTGTATACAGTATCAGATATCTTTCTTTGATACCACCAGATGTCTTTTTTTAAAAGATTAAATAGAATAGTATATATCTAGTCCTACATTTAGCTAGCTACTTGAGATAATTTATTGTCTGGTAAGGCACATCCCTCTTCATTTTTTTTTTCCAAACTTCTTCATTTTTCTTCTGTATTCTTTCTTTCAGATGAACTTTAGCAGAATCTTGAAGTATGGGGAGAGAGGATAGTGGGGAAACAGCAAGAACAAAGGCAGAGAGGTTGGTAAATCTTGGGAATTTATTTCTCTAGTTTGTAATTGTCTTAATTCTTATTGTGTATAGCAGATTATACATATTTTAGTATCCTTATATTTGGGAAATGCCTACTACGGTGGTTCAGAGTAAATTCTAAAGGTCAGAATATTTATGAGGTTTTAAAAGTTTGGGGTGTTACAGAAAGGAAAGGATTCTAGAGTGAAAGTAGTTTTAGATCCTGGCTTTAAATGAGCAATCCTAATTTTTGAACAACCGTATGTATCACCTATATTACTACTACTCAGGATTCTGTGGGCTGATTCTTCAGATCAGAGATAACTCAGCTGGGGCTAGATACATAATCTAGGGTGGCTTTACTCACATGGTTGGGGGCCTCTCTATGGCTCTGATAACGTAGTGGTAGAAAAGGGATCCCAGCAGCAAGAGAGGGTAAGCCCCTGTGTGCCTATACTTTTCAGGCCTCTGTGTGTGTGTGTGTTTTTTTTTTTTTTTTTATAATTCAGTGGCCCAAAGCAGATCACTTGGCCAATCCCGTTTAAGGGATGGAGAAGTAGATGCTACCTCTTGATGGGAGATCAGTCACTTTTCATACAGAGACGTATGAGCAAATCAGTAGCTATTACTGCAACAGTTTACCACAAGAAGGTAAAGGAGTAAGCTACCTGGATATCTAAAAGAAAAGCTTTCTAGGCAATGAGAACGGGTTGCAAAGACCTAAGGGGAAAGAATGCTTGATGTGTTCATGGTTTAATAGCAAGGAGAGAAAACAGTACCATTGTAGAGGCTGGGGCCAGAGTAAGATCTTGAAGTCCTTGTAAGCATTATGAAGACTTACTCTTTGTAAAAAGAGGAGCCTTAGGAGGGTTCTGAAGCCGGAGAGTGATATGATTTGACTTATCTTTCTGAATAGATTACTTCTGGCTGCTGCTTTGAGGCTAGATTGTAGGGAGAGAAAAATAGAAGCAGGAAGACAAATAGACTATTGCAGTAAATGCAGGTAAGAGATGACTGGTTTATAGCAACAATGACGTTGGGTGGTTATAGGCTTCTAAATATTTTGAAGAGTAACTGACAGGATTTCCTGACAGCTTGGATATGGGTATATGACAGAGGAGTCAAGATCCAAGGTTTTTCATCCATGAAGCTATGAATTTGGTCTCTGCAGCATTGAATTGCCACCAAGATGACCTGAGAAAATTGGGGATTGAGTAGATTTTGGAAGGAAGATCAGGAATTCAGGTTTGGATATGTTAAGTTTGAGAAGACTCTCAGACATTTGACTGGAGTTGTCAAATTGGAGAGAAGAATCTGGAGTTCAGGAGCAAGACCTGGAGATAGAAGTTTGAGAACATCAGAATACATAGAATTTAAAATACCAAGGATTTTAATTACTAAAATGATTGTAAATCTGAAATACTTTGAAATTTTTAAAGTTTTGTTATGGTTATGGGTTCAAGTATGGAAGAAGAGCAGCAGAGCAGTTTAGCTATAGCTAAAATGTATTCTTTGTGATAATAGTAAAAATATGAGTTCAAAGAAACCATTGTTCCATCCACACAGTATTATGAAACACAAATAAATAAAGTGTGTAGGCTAAATATCTTATTTGAATATCCCTTTTACTGAAAAATATACCAACTAGTTTCTAATTAGGGAAGTTTATTGACAGGAGGCAGTATAAGTAAAAGCCTGAAAGGGACAGAAGGCCAAAAGTTGAAGGACAGGGCCAACTGGATATTCAATCAGTCTTAAACTATTGGGAATTTTTCTTCTTTGTTCTCTCCTCCTCTTTCAGTCTCTCTCTGTTTCTCATTTTATTCATAGTGTATTAATATAATGAGATGTGCAGGTATAAGTACTGAGACTAATCCAGAAGATATTCTCTCAGATGCAAAGCTTTACTGCTCTGGGCTTGATCCTCAGGGCTGCCAGACCCAGCCTAACCAACCTTTTCATAGATACTGGGTTCAGGGAAGTGAGAAAGGGGCCCTGCTTTTTGTGTAATTTAGACATATACAGAAATGACTTGAGAATGGTTTAGATCATGTGGAAGAGAAAAAAACAGATTTATCATTGAGCCATTATTTAGTTGAACTTCCAAATGTTTTCATTCAGCAAATATTTATTAAAGCAACTATTGTGGGTCAAGAATGCTATTAGGCTGAAGTAGATGACCAAAATGAGACATGTAAACAAATGATTAAAAAAAAAAAGTGCAATATTCTTTACCAGATATTCCAGCAGAGTAGGCAGGGGGAGTTAAGAACAAAATCAATTCACCTTTAGGCCCCCAACACTTACTAGAGTGCTTTACATATTGTAGCAGTGCTTAAATATATTTATGAATGGATAAACAATGTGATACATGCATCTGTTATATCATTAACAGAATACTGTGGGAGCATAAAGAGGAAGTGACCAGTTTTTCCTTGTAACAATAGAGGACAGAAAGGCTTTGCAGGAGATTCAATGGGTGGGGAAGGTGAGTGAATGTGGGGTTAGAAAGCACACTCTGAACTAATAAAGGCAGCAAAGCTGGATTGTGGGGTATGTAGGGAGTTGGAATGGCCACTGGTGAGGCTACAACAAATAGACTAAAGTCAGGATGCAAAAATATCTTGTACTGGAATTTATTCTGTGGGTGCTGGTAAGCTATTGAAGGTTTTTTTTTAGCGGGACTATTAAGAAGTAGAATTTATGAGAAGTTACTTAAAGATATCATTCTTGAATTGGGAAATCAAATGTTGATAGAATTTTAAACTTATGCATTGGAAGTAGCACAGCTAATTATGAAATTTATGGTAGAATCTGTTTTATTAGTGTAGGTAAAACCTATACTAGGTATTCAAAGTATATTAAGGTATTCAAAATATACAAGATGTCATTGGGTTGTTTTTGAAAGAGAAAGAAACAATGTGTTTTTTTAAAATACATGTTTTTATTGAAGTTAGTTGATATGAAATATTATATTGGCTTCAAGTATACAACATAGTGATTTATTTGATAGTTACATACATTATTAAATCCTCACTCCAACTAGTGTAGTTACTGTCTGTCAACATAGAAAGGGTTACAGAACTATTGGCTGTATTCTCTATGCTGTACTTTCATCCTTCTCACTAATTTATATTATGATTGAGATTTTGTGCCTCTTTATCACCTTCACCTACCACCCCAACCCCTCCCCTATGGTAACCACCAGTCACGTCTCAGTGTCTGTGAGTCTACTGCTGTTTTGTTCATTTTCTTTTGTTTTGTTTTTAGATTCCACATATAAGTGAAATTAAATGGTGTTTGTGTTTCCCCATATATTTTTGCTTTATGAAATTAATGTAAACCTTTTCCTTAAGATTATGATTTTAGTATTTGTTAACTTATTTTGAAATGATTTTAGGTTTATAAAAGAATTGCGTTAAGTAGTACAGAGAGTTCCTGTATATTCTTCATCCAGCGCCCACTAATGTTAACAGTTTACATAATCACAGTACAATGATCAAAATTAAGAAATTAACATTGGTACAATACAATTAACTAAACTGTTTAGGATTTTCTTAGTTTTTTCACTAATCTCCTTTTCCTGTTCCAGGCTCCATACAGGATATATTACATTGCACTTAGTTATCATGTGTTCCTAATCCTCTCAAATCTGTGATGGTTCCTTGTTTTTTATTTGACTTTGACACTTTAAAGATTACTGGTCAGATATTTTTGCAAATGTCCCTCAGTTTGATTTTGTCTGGTATTTTCTCATGATTATGGACAGGAGTAGAGTTTTTGGGTTATTGGAGGTTTTGTTTTTTTTATTAACTTTAAAGATTACTGGTCAGATATTTTTGCAAATGTCCCTCAGTTTGATTTTGTCTGGTATTTTCTCATGATTATGGACAGGAGTAGAGTTTTTGGGTTATTGGAGGTTTTGTTTTTTTTATTATTTAAAAAAAATTATTATGAAATAAAATTGACACTTTGTTGAAGGTATACAATTCTATAAATTTTGACACATGTATACATTTGTATGAGTTTGTTTAGCCACCACCATAATCAGAATATACAACAGTTCCGTCACTCTTCAGAACTCCCTCATGGTCTCTGTAGTCACACTCTACCCCTAATCCATACCCCTACAGCCACTGATGTCTTCATCATTGCACTTTGTCTTTTGGACAGTATCATATAAATGGAATCATAGAGTATGTAAGTTTTGGACACTGGCTTCTCCCACTCAGCATACTGCCAGGTTGTGTTTATCACTAGCTTATTCCATTTTATTGCTGTGTGGGTACTGCTATATGTTTGTATATCTCCCCATTTTTTTGGTGAGTATTTGAGAACACATCATCTATCTGGCACTTTAATCAAGTGAAGCGAATTTTGTGTAAAATAGGGATTATCATCTTCTCTTTTATGAAAGTGAAAACATAAGCTTATGTAGTTTAAGTAGCTCTAGGTCATATATATAACCAGCTAATAGTGGAGTTGGGACTCAGACCTGGGTAACCCACTTGAAAGCCCATGATTTTGAACTGCATGGCTAGTTGCTAATGTTTGTTTCTTCATTCTCTGTTTGATCAACAACGTAATTAAGAGGAATTGAAATTCTTGTTTCTTGAGTATATTCTAAAATTTCCCTACTCTTCTCTTTATATTTGATTCTTTTTATTGGAGAGCAAGGTAGTATTTTTCACGTTGCTTTGTTTTAATTTTTGGGATTAAGCATTCTGTGATTCAGTTCTAAAGCAAAAGTCAAGTAAATCAGTCCACTAGCAATTACAAATTAACAGTGCATCTATTTATGAGAATTAAAGCCAGAATATTAAGCTTTTTCTTATAAGCTCCTTGTAAATAGTCTGTTTTATTTTATTATTTTTATGTTTTATTGAAGTATAGTTGATACACAATATGTATTGGTTTCAAGTATACAACACAGTGGTTCAACAGTTACACACATTAGTCTTTGTTTTATAGATAGTAAATATCAAATAAAAATAGACATAGTCTAAGTC